AGAAGATATAGAAATGGGAAACACTGCAAGTTCTTATTTCTATAAAGAAAAAGGAGACACCTCTGACATCCAAATATCAATTAGCTCTATTATCTCATCTATTATCGATAACCTTCAACAATACAACAACCCTATCATTCCAATATCATGTTTCCCTTCATCTATTTACGCAAAGTTACAAAAATCTCTCCAACAATCTGAACGTAAGAAGCCAGCAAAATATAGAGAAAGAAACCCGGCTTTTAGCAGCAATCTCCATGAGAAAATAGAGGTTACTACTAATAGACTCTGGCTATATGAGGATGACCTACTATTAAAATCCTCTGGAATAGAAGATTATAATGTAACCATCAATTCAGATGATGAAGATAATAAACTCAATTTATTAGAAGAACTTATTAGTGAATATCATCGTATTATTCAATGGGCATCCAAGCTCACTATTATCAAAAATAATCCTGATGAACTTATCAATTTCTTGCTAGATATTAATCAATGCCCAAGAGATGAAGTTAGGCAAAAGCCAAAACTAGCAATCTTCATCAAAATAGAAGCAAGGGATAAAGGCTTTCTAAGATTTAACAAGGAAACAGAACTAAAAGAAGACCACCAAAAAGAATACGAAAAACTCGAAGGATGGTTTCGAAGAATCTACAAAGGGAAACATAAAGTTGGAGAACTTAATAAAGAAGTTAGATCCAAGATTAAGTTTCTCTTAAACAATAGCTTGTTCATTGCCTACCTAAGATATATCAACATATTCGACCTCAACCCCCATCTACTTGCCCAAATCATGGAATATGGATGCAACTACCTGTGCCATTCCAAAGAAGGCACCAAGCTATATTATTACGAAATTCTCCAAAAATGTAAAAAAATGTTTCGCGACAATCTACTGGAGCTTCCTTCATCTCCAGAATTAGTCCCTCCTCGAATAAAGGCCAAAATTCCTCATAGAATTCCCATCCTTGACAGAAGCATGACTGCAAGTGTGACAGGCTCTCTCCATTCAATATACAAATTTAATCTCCTATCAGACTCATACTTTGCCACTTTCCCTAATTTCCCTGATGATCTGCAAAATCTCTCCAAAAAAGTATCACACTTATTTCCAGTTAAAAGAAGAAAGGATCTCAAGAATTTGGGTGACATGATTAGGGAACTTAAGAAATTCTACTTTGTCCCCAACAAAATCCCCCTTTCATACTTCGATCTTTCTCCTCCCAAAATTCCCTTTCTCTCATCACCCAATCTTCTCAAACCAAAATTTACTGAGTTTTTTCCACTTGATACATCCAAACATAGCATTAGAGAGGTGGTTAAGGAACTCTGTTCCAAATATTATTTTGAACACCTCCCTTCCAACTTCTTTAAGCTTAAAGAACTCCTTTCCACATTTTCATTCATGATTAATAGATACATCTTTAAACTGGGAATTCAAATCCCTACTACAAATCCCCATGATACCCAATTTTTAATTAAAAACCTGAAAACAGAATTTCGATTCTCACTTCCACTAGGAGTTCACTGGATAAATGAAGAGATCTCTTAAACTAACAAACCAAAGTTGTCGCAAAAGCTTAGCGACATTGACCCAGACCTAGACATCAAGCTTCTTTCTTGTAGTGACACCCTCCTTAGAGAAAAAATCAAGACTTTACATAAGCATTATGAATTTCAAAGAATCCCAGAAAGTTGGTTCACCAATCCACGAATCCTTTTGCCAACTGATTCACTAGAAATAAACAGAATCCTAAAAGAAAAAAGCTTAATACCTATCAAATTTCCCTTGGTGGATAATGACACTCTCTCTATACTTATCTATCAATTACATTAAACCTTTTCCTTTATCAGACTCCCTGAATCCCTTATCATAAAAGAGACGCTCCCTGAACCGGAGTTTGATCTTATGCCCTTTTTATGTTAATCATTATGTTTAACAATCAAACTACAACAAATAATTCAAATCTTAACTTGTCAAATACTACCTTCATTCCTACCAACCATACTTCCTCAAACATGACGATCAACACCACTGCACCCACCAATTTCAACTTCACATCACTCCATCACACCCATATCATAACTATATCTTCAAGCAATATCAATATTGAATTAACTCCTAATACCACTCAAGATCTAATTACCTTTACCACCATTAATACCAAAGGCCTAAATAATCCTGCCAAACTCAAAGCCCTAGCAAATTATACCCAGACTAAAGATGGGTCCCTAAATTATTTGTGAGGACATAATTCAAATGTCCCTTACTATTAAAAATTTTCATTTCTATATTAAGAAATAAAAAAAAACTACCTACAAAGGTTCTTTATAGTTTTAAGCATCTATACAAATCATTTCTGGAATTATGTCCCTATTGAAGTAAAGAGCTAGGAATTATGTCCTCTAGGGGACGTAGACGTAAAGGGACGTAAATTTTATATGCTAAATACTTTAGGGACCCATCTTTAACCCAGACTGTGCTATTCTTTTCTGTACCGAGACCAAACTTAAACAAAGAGACAACCACCTGAAAAATATTAATGGGAGGTCCATAATCTATGGAAACTCCAGCTTATCTGTGAAAAATGGTACAGCTCTTATCATAGGAAGAAGTCTCACCCTCACATATACAAAATTATCAGCCATTCAGAATATTGTTCATCAGTTATACTCAAATTCAAAGGAAAAGTCAACATCCTCGTTTCAACAGTCTATCTACCTCATGCCATGATAGAAAGAAAAGCCGCAGTCAAGCAAGTAGTCCAAATGGTTAAGACAGCTGCAAATGAAAAATATCACCATGCAATTCTAGAGGACTTCAATACATACCCCAAGGACAGCCTATCAATTAATGCCCCGACCTCTTCAGTCAAATGAATACTCTATAGATATTTATTCAACTATATTGATATAGGTTACCAATTAGATGCGAATGCTTTTACCTTCATCACCCCCACCAGTGCTTCCAGAATCGATCAAATTTGGCTATCAAGAAGTCTAGCTTCTAAAGTAGTCTGATATAAAGTCCAGGAATGTGATGCTATTCCAACAGATCACTATATGGTATCAATTAAGTTGGATTACTTCGAATTTAGAAAAGCCAAGCCCATTTACAAGTTTGATATAGGTAAAACTTCCAACACCAACATTACAAACTTTGTCCAAGATATGGAATCCTGGACTAGTCTCTTAAACTCCCCAAATTGGAATAAACTTCATAATCTAATTAGAGACTCCATGAACAAATTTATTAAGAAGATCAAAGTGAATATGATCCCAAAAGATTTCCATACCAATGCAGAGAAAAAACTCAGAAATCAGACAAGGAAAATTAATAATACAATCTCAAAACTCAAAAATAATCACACTGCAACTCAACTCCAAGGTCATGAGTTATAGGCCCTATACAAAACTGCCAATGGAAATTCAAATATTTCAATTCAAGGATTAAGGAAGCTCAAAAAACTCTTAATCCGTGAAGCAATGGCCCAAGTCCAGCAAGAATCCCTTGAAGAGTTCTGGCTAAACCATGAGAGAACAGTTGAAAATTTCTACAATAAGCCCAAGAGCTATATCAAGAAAGCTCTAGGTTCTCTAAAACCAAGAATTAATCTCTTCAAAATTCTCAATGAAAACAATCAAGTGAAAGAAGATCTTAACGTGATTCAAGATATAATCAACAAATACTTCAAAAATATTCTACGCAAAAGAAATTTCAATCTTGAAAACTTCCCAAATTGGCAAAACGAATATTTACCCAAACCAATCGACCAAAACATTTATAATCAAGTACTTTCTCCTTTTGATAACAACACTATTGATGAAGCCATTCACACTCTCCCCAAAAAAAAATCTCCAGGAAAATCTGAGATCAGTTATGACATAATCAAACTGTTAAAAGGGAAAATTACAACCCACCTTACTTCAATTTTCAATCAGATTTTAACCTCTTCATTGATTCCACATCTTTGGAAACAAACTTCCATCACTCTCATATCCAAAAAACTTCTTTGGAGCCACAAGCTCAATGATACTAGACCAATATCGCTAGTTGATTCCACGAGAAAGATTTTCATCGGAATAATCAACAAAAGACTTTTCAACACCTTGAAGTCTAACTTAATCCTGTCAGAATTCAGCTTCGCAGGACTTCCAGGACAAAGTACTCTTGAACCTCTTACTATCATTAACTCAGCAATTCAAGCTAGTAACAAAGAATTCTGGTTTGTCTCTCTTGATATTGCCAAAACATTCAACTCTGTTCCCATATCAGCTATCAAAAAATCTCTTGAAAGAATCAAGTGTCCCCCTCAACTAATAAGTCTTTTCACTAACTTGCTCACAAATAGAAAAATATCTATCAACTCGCCCTTTGATCCAACTAACCCCTTCACAGTTAACAATGGCATAGAACAAGGAGAAACTATCTCTTCAATTACCTGGGTCATCTTTTATGATCCTTTCATCTTCAAACTTTCCAGATGCAAAAAAATTCAGGGATACCTAGCCCAAATGCTCTCGCCTATATGGATAACTTGGCACTTATTGCTGACTCCAAAACAAAAATGGAAACTCTTCTCGAAACAACCAATCAATTCTTTCAAATCAATAACATCACATGCAACAAAGATAAAATCAAAATTATTAACAATATTAAAGTTAAGTGCGGAAGTCCAAGAACAATCAATTTCGAAAATCTTCCTATTCAAGTCCTCAAATCCTATGAGAGTATCAAATACTTAGGAACTCTTATCTCTTTATGTAGTTTTCTCAAAGCTAACAGAAAAGCTTTTAGCCAAGTAGCCTTACAAATCCTTGATGAACTTAACAAGCGTCAGTGGAAAGGAGAAATCAAACAATGCATTTGTGAGTGGGTATTAATGGGAAAATTCGAATACTTCTTATCAATCACTTACCTAAACAAGAGTCTTCTCAATACTATCCAAAGAAAAGTCAATCAAGTTATTAAGTCAGGTTACAAAATCTCTTTCAAGTGTTCCAACTCAATCATAATGAGCCAAGGAGAGCTTAGTTTACCACTACTCGAAGAACGTCAAAGGTCAAGTCTCATTAACAATCTCATAACTAAGCTAGCCACTCCCATAACAAGAAAATATATAATTCAAACCATACAGTGCATCCAAAAAAAAGAAGCTATTTGGTTCTGTCCAATATGTGATCCAGAAAAGTTCGATCAGGATAATTGGATACTTTATACAGCCAAAGCTGCAAAAGATTTCAAGATACAAATCTGTCTTCCGAATTG